CCTCCACACACGCACATGCACACACATGCATGCACACGCCCCCACCCCCCAACAGTCCCCAAGCCTTGGCCCTCCAACCCCCACTTCCCATACACTTACTTTCATCCCACTGCTGGGGCTGCTCTCATGACCCTGCCTGGCTGCAGGTTGGCAATGCCCAAGCAACCCCTTGCAGGCTGGAATGCTGCCAGCCTACAAGGGGAAACCCACACTTCCGTCCATTTTTCTGAGACTTAAGACCCTTTAAAATATTCTTGTGACCCACTTTTGGGTCGTGACGTGCAGGTTATGATACGCTGCTCTAGCCTGTTAGTCTATCCTTTCTACCCTTACATGTTACATGTAAGAATTACATGTAGGACTTCTTATCTCCTTAGCTAATTCCCATAATGTCACTCAATACATTAAACTGATGAAATGTGGATTAGCAAATCCTCGTTCTGATTCTGTTCAGCTTCCCGTAGATCTGATTGGATCCAAAACATCTTTTGGGTTCTTAGACTTGCAGCTAAACCCAGAACTTGATGACTTAGATGAAGGAAAGGACAAAATAAATTTCAGGAGTGCTTCATTGGAAGAAGAGTATTTTAAAGAAAAAAATAATACTTAAATCTTCTCTTACAAATAGTGATGTTCAAGACAATAAAAACACCCCCCCAACTGCTTATAAAGGCAATTCTGCCTCCCTAGATTAGTATCCAGTACTAGCAATTTAGACTGAGAATGTGAGAAAGTCCTGTAGTAAGTACTAAATTATAATTTCCTTCCTGTATTTTTCATAGATTTTATCAAAACATAATCATGATCATTTTCAAATTTTATTTGCTCTGTTCCTTACCAAAATGGATCAGCAGCCAAACTGATATATTAGAAGATTAAGATATGTTAGACTTTTCACTGATTTAAACTTCCTAATGTTAAAGTAGACTCTGCTGTGCTCATTCCTTTTGAGCAATTTACGCCTACTCTATCAATAACCAAGGGAGTCTATGTTGGTGTAATTTAATGCCTAGAACTAGAAGTAGGGAAAATCAAAGTAGTGGCAGGGCTATTTTAATTTATGCTCTCTTTTTAGATCTTTGATGTACAAATACACCAACCCCGCATATATTAGGCAGCAATAGTGGAGGCATAATATGTTCTAAGAAAACCTTTAAATTTTTAAATCAATTAACTCTGACTCAAGGGTAATCTGAATAAGTAGTCTTGCTGGACAATTCTATGCACTATATTGCAACATATATCTTGTTGCTGACAGCATGAACCACTCCTCTGGCAATTATATTTTTGGGGCCAGATCCTCAACTGGTCTAACTTGGTGCAGCTCCATTGGAAGTTTCAGTTGGAATTAAATGCAAGGGAGTCATTTGAGGAGACTGCTCCCTGGCTGCCTATATGTAATCAACTGTGAGAATGCCCTAACAGTTACTGGGGGGGGGGGGCGGTTTACTGAGTCCCCCTCCCCTGCCACTTCTCCACTCTCCTTGGTCATCACTGCCATACATTTTGACATGCATTATACATTTTTCTATTATATTGATTGTACTAGGATGCATTAATAATATTTCAAACTGTGTAATTCATCTAATGTTTTACCAAAATGTACTAGTCATTTATATCAATGTTCAGTACTGCTAGAGCTTTGGCTTTAAATCCATTTTGCTACTATGATATACCTTCCTTTTAAAACTATAAACTAAATTACTCTAGTTTTCATCTAGGGTAATTTCATGGATTTTGTGGAGTTATTTTCATCAATCTGAATACAGAAAATGTAAATCTGTCAAGTATTTGTACTTGAATTGTAAATTTAGCATATCAGGTTTTAATCTGGATGCTAATGTTTTTGTTTAAAAAGATATACCTAGGTAACATTTTATAAACCTCATTCTGGAGTGATTCCCATATTAATAGTTGGGCACAAATGAGCTACACAATAATTAAGGAGTCAGTACTGCACTTCTGAGAATCCTTATGAAAATTTTCTGGTGTTGAATTCATTTATGCTTGCAAGAGTAGAACCTAAGATGACATGAATTTACATGGTTTTGCATGTTGTTGCCATTTACGTTTTCAAGGTTCTGCATAAAGTTAGGAGTCAAAAGTTTTGAGTCACCAGTTTAAGACATTTAACAGAAACCTGATGCTCAGAAGCCATCAGCATCGAGAGCCAGGTTCCGTTAAGGGTGTGATCCAAAACACATTTGGGCAACTAAAATTGATATTTTTGAAAATTCAAAAAAAATTAAAAATTCAAATTTGATTTATCTCTATGTATATACCTGACACACACAGACACATGTATGTGTGTACATTTTTAATTGAATGTGTGTGTGTCTGTGTGTGTGTACTCTCTTTAATTTTCCCTGAGCCTGAGGAAGGGTGTGCACGCCTGAAAGCTTGCACAAAAAATATTTTTTGGGTGATTTCTTAGTTGGATCTACTAAAACCTAACAAAAGGCATAATCTCTGAACCAAGCATTCTAGAGTTTTGCATTTCTTTTTGTCTGTACCTGTTTCACACTATGTGGATTTGACAGTTTTGCTTGAACTCTCAATTCAGTTGCTCATTGTGACCACAATGGGGGAAGGAATGAGATAAGGAAAAGAAGTGGCAGATTTCACTTCAGGTTTATTTTTTCTTTGAAGGCTTGAGTCAGCTCCCTATCTGGGTGATGAATAAACCTAGTTCTGCACTTACATCTTTTCAACACTTCCAGTCAAATGCATAGAGCAACATATGGTGCTGGCATCTGCAGAAGAAGAGCCTGCCAGAGATGGGTCAAGTCACGGAGCTATTAAGGAGGAATGCGGCTCTTGTCCTACGTCCTTTGTTTCCAAGATAGACAAGATGTTTCATTTATCTGGTTGCAAGCTGGGCACCTCCCATCCAGTTGATAGGTGACAAAGACAGGCCACTCGTCCTCGCTTGTCACACACGGTAGAGTTTCAGTCTCTCTGCATGTTTTGCAACTATTTCAGCCGGGCTAATACAAGATCCCGGATTTCCCCCAAGAACCTGGCTGCCCGCGTCCTTCGCGGCGACATCTCCTACCCAGTTCAGGGTACTGCTCCACGCACGTGGCAAGCGGCAGCAGCTCTCCGCGCCTGGGCTCGAGGCAGCACGGGGGGAGCTGTCAGGCTGGGAATCGTCGGGGAGAGTTGCTTTGCTAGGGTGAGCTATTTGAGAAAGAAAGTAACTCAAGCCGGACGGCAGGCGGGGTCGGGTGATGTAACAGGAAGCGCTGATGTTTCCCTTCTGCCGCCGATCGCTTTCAATCTGCCCCCGCTTCCAAGCGCGCGCAGAGCAGCTCCTCTTCCCAGGCAGCCCAGGTCCTGGGCTTCCCATACCCGGATTATACCCGGCTCTTCTCACCCCCTCCTCCAGGGAGGACGGCTTCTCTCTGGCTCCCGACCTGCGGAGGGGAAGACCAAGCGGAGACGCGGGAGCCAGGTTTCCCCAGGCGCCGCGGGCGGTGAGTGCAGTTTGGCAGCAGCTTCCCGAGAGCGGAGGGCTCTGAACGCCTCCGTCCCTCGCCACACGGGAGGGAGCGACCGCTTGGGTGTCGCTTTGGTTTCTCGCCACCTCCTCCTGCCGTTGGCAGAGAGAAAGGGAGAGCTGGGGAAAGGAGGGGGCTCGCGCAATGAATGGGCTCCTCATGCCGCCGGACTCGGCTCTCCAGCGCGGGGATGTGAGCGGCGTGAGGCACACGCCGCTGCCATCCCCAAACCCAGAGCTTGGCTCTTCGAGCTTCAGCCTCTGCATCTGGAGAGAATTAAGCTGCCTGGGTTGGGAAAGTCCTTAAGACTTAATTCAGTGCAACTGGGGCTCTGGCGAGAGAGGAAGGATTAAGTGATAAAAGCAGCGCCGTTGGCCTCGCTGGTCTCTCTCTCTCCCAGTCCCCGCGAGGCGAGGCGAGGCGGGAGAGAGGGAGGCGGGAGACTTGAGTCCGCCCAGCAGGAGCGGCGTCCTTGTTGCTCTGGAGCAGAGCTCAAGGTTTTGGCCTTCCCTCTTCCTCTCCCTCTACCTGGAAAAGCCAGTTCTGAGATCGCCGCTTGCTGACCAGCTAATGAGAGCAATTGTTTCCTCCTACCCCCGCTCTTGAAACGAGCATGGTGTGGAGAAAATGGGAGTGTGCCTGATTCTGTTGGAAAGAGTCAGGCTGGCCCTGAAATGTTACCTGCTTGCCCTCCCTCAAGGAGAATTGATCTCTTTAATAAAGATGTCTTGTTGCCTACCTTTACATGTGGCGGCATTACCAGAAGTTACCTTGTTAGTCAATTTGTGCATGTGTGCAAGCAAATGTAATTTGAGGGACTAATGCAATGGGCTTTTAGAAACTGAACCTTGTTTCTCAAAATCTTGGTAGTAAATCGCTGAGAAGCAGCATCTCCTCTGATTTCAGTGGGGGGATTGCTCTGCAATAATTCATGTAGTCCTGCAACTATAGTATGGGCTGTGATACTGAAAAATCTTAGGAATGTCTGTGTTGTTTTTATTCTTTGCCTTAATAGACTCATGTTAAATACCTGGGGCTAGATTTGGTTCTTATTACAGCAGAGTAAATGGGGAATACCTTCACTTACGTGAACCCTCAATTTTATAACAGTAGGGTATTCAACAATTCAGTGCGTTTAGAATAATGATGATTTGGAAACTATAACGTTGCTCCAAATCTGGACTAATTCCATTAACATTGAATAAATTATACTAGACCTAGAGTGATAAAAATAGAGAATTTGTGCCTTGTATGATTTTTTAAAAGGAAACCACACTCAGAGATAGGGTACAGCTGTGGATTTGTTGCTGATGTAAAAATACAGACATGGTTTTAGAAACAATATTTTAGCCAATTACTGTATTTATGTAAGGTCCTGCTTCCACTATAATTGGCGGTCAACCCCTGTAGAAGCTTGAGCAGTCCTACATCTATTATTGTGCTTTGAATATTTGGAACAAAAGCCAGTTAGCACTGATAAAATCAAACAGGATAAAACATGCAAGTGCTAATGCTCTCTTAATGAACTGCAAGATAGGATGCAGTAAATGCCTCAGTGAAATATTTAATTTTACTGAAGTGAGTAGTATTGGAGACTCCGGTGCAATTACTCAAATGTGCAACATTAAGTATGTGTGCTACGTTTGCAGGATTGGAACTATAATTTGCACAAGTACAGAGTTTAGGTAGGAAGTGACCAAATAGTAACTAAGCAGTTTGTCCAAATTGCTTTGAAATACAAAAGAAAAACTTGGAAGTCAACATAAACATGTCCATGTGGTGACGTATGTGACCAAAGTCTGCTAGGTTTATTGATATTGGGTGGTACCTTATTCCACTCCCAGCCTGGCCTCGGGAAAGCAAGAGCCTGCTTGACATTAGGGAGAAATCTGTTTTGCATTACAAAATATAGGATTTGTTTCATAGGAACACCTTTCTTTCCCAATTTAGTGTAGCTGATTAAACCCTGGCGCAGAAAAGTCAATGGAGGTTTTTTCCACTGACTTCCATGGCAGCAGGGTATTGCCTGATGTACTACCGAGTTAGTATGTTATGCTGAAGGAGATCATTTGATCACGGATATCATAGTGTGTGTGTGGTTTTGTTGTTTAATCCTATTTGTTTGCTGATATACTGGCTAATATTCAGTACTGTACAAAAATCCCAAATCCTATCTATTCATTTTAAGTTAGAAGGTTCTGAATAAATATGATTTAGTCAAAATGTATTAGAGGAACAAGATCCTTCCATGCATATTTCTGCTGAGTAGTAACTTAAATTTTTGAGCAGTCCCATTGAAAGCTATGGAATTACTCATTGAGTAAAGTAATACTCCAGTAATACTGAAAGTAAAGCTGTCAAGTCAGTTTTATAATTACATGATGTAAAGAGTAATCCTGAGATTTAAAAGCATTTTGGTGTAGGCCCCATCCTGCAATACTTGATTACAGATTTGGTCCTCATATTGTAAGATTTTTGTGAGATTGGACCCACAGAGTTTAGTAAACCACAAAACTGCAAAATGATTAAAATCCCCTGCAATTGCTTTTAAGAAATTGCCAATGTCACCATGATCCCAATAATACGCTGTATGTCACAGTATTAAAAATATGTTTTCTGATGCACTGTGTAGTAAATGCTGAAGATGCCTTATTATTTCACAAGGGATTTTGACTTTTCACTGAAAACCATTCAAGTTTCTAAATCTGCAAGGGCAAAATTTAAGGTTTTCTTTAAGTTATTGTTTTCTCTGTGATTATTATATACATATAACAAAATAGTCTTTTCTGTTTGCTAGTCGAATTGTTTCTATGTATACCGGTGAGTTGCCATTTCTGTAGAGTGTATACACAGAACTGGAATAAACTTGGACTCAAATTCATCTCTGCTGTAAAATCATGTGCAATACATATGTCCTTGGCATCTCATCAATATCAGATGTAAAACTGTCTCAAATACACTTACTTCAGAATGGAACAGTTTCCAAATAAGTAACTGAAGGACATTTCAAAGACTTTTCGATTTATCAACTTTTTCAGAACTATTATGCCAATGAACGGGCAAACAGTCTAGTTATTATCAAACTAGACTTGATTTTTTGTCAAAAGATACATAAGCAATGAGAGGGAAAATCTGATAAGATTTTGCTGCAGATGTCCATATCATACCAATTTTCAGGATTTCTAAATGAAACAAACATAGAGATAAATTCAGCTGTTTGGTCATGTAGTTTAGATCTAATTATTCTCCATTTTGTCTGTTAGATTTCTGCATTGCTTGAAGAACATGGGCATAGTTTTATTTGGATGGCATTGGCTGAAATTCTGTCCTATATTTTATTTTCTATCCAGATAATTTTCAACATAATATAGGTACACTGCAAAGAGAGAATAAGGATCAAGCCATTCCTTATCTAGTTTCTGTGTAGAAAACTAAATGCTCTGGTATTACAACTATAAACTCTTCCATTAAACAAACTTTAATCAAATATTTTTGTTATACTTTGGAATCAGGAGTAAGCTTGGAAGACTTAAATTTTCCATTTGCAATCCAAATCTTTTTTCCATGGATATCTTTCATGTGTATCTGTTTTTGGTCTTTCTGGTTTGTTTATGGTGTTTACATTTTCCCAGCAAAGTAATTCTTTTTTTGCCCTATCTCAGTGCAAACTCTTTCAATCACTGATACAGTATATACCATTCAGGAGGACTAAAGTGATTTTTTTAGAGTCCATTTCCCAGGATAAGATGAATTTTAAAATTCACTTTATCTAAATGTACACATTAAAAAAACCAAACAAACAACCTTGATTTAAAATCTCAGTTGTAAAATAGAAAACGTTCCTATCTTAAATACCTGTAATCTCCCTTTACGCTTCTGGAATTGGGATCATGTTTTACAGAGAGAGAAAGACGTTGGGCAAGCTATTATGATTAAACAACTAGATCTATTCTTAAATATTACCATATGTACACTTCTTTAAAATCTATTCTAGCAGTGTTTCTTGCAACTCCAAATTCAACATGAATTTCTGTAGCACAAGTAATTCATTTGCATTTACTATTAAGAGTTTGGTGTACAGCACCCTGTGTTAGACTGTTACTATTATGTGTATTAAGCATATGTATATTAAGCCTGTCTTCCTGAGCTTGTCTGTCAGTCTATCTGTTATTTCTGTTTGGATTATACAACCTATTGTGCCAACTTTAGCTAGTTACAGATGCTTCATTGTAAAAATATTCTGAGTAGAGGAACATTTTCCACCCATTTGTTAGAATAAGAAAGGCAGCTATATACTTTTGTAAGCGAAAGAGTTATTGCTGGGATAGTTTGATAAGGGATAGTTATAATAAAGCGATCAGTATGTTCTGATGTACTTTATTTGGATGTATAGAGCCATATTGTAATGATGGAAGTAGAGTTGTTCTGAATTGGCAAACTATCAGAAAGAACTCCATTTCCTAAATAGTTGCTATATAAATATATCCTGACAATTTCAATTTCTTCTTTATTTAACCGTAAGGGAGAAGTTTACTTTGTGGCTATTCTTCACAGTTCACTTCATAGCTCTTTTTGCTCCCTTGAGTGAACACAGTAAAGATAATATTTTTATAATATGTGAACACTGATACACAATTGGATAAATTATATACTTGTGTGTGTAAGGGACATGTTGAGTAGAATGCCTCATTAGTGCCATTAGTAATCAACCAATCAATCAAACTCTGATATCATGTCCTACCTGTGAGATAAGAACACACTTGGTATTAATAAATGGAAATGCTGATGGGTCTCCAAGTTACACTGTTAGTTGAGAGTCCTATGAGCAATTGGTGATACAAGTCAAAGTGTCTATCTGGAAGGAGATCTAGAAGTTATATATAATTCATCTTGCATAGTTACAAAATGTGTAACCTCAGGCCCCATTAAACAATCCTGTTTCCTTTCTCTCACTTCTTTCTCCCCTTTAAGCTCCC